GTATGTTTGATATGAGGTACAAATCTATTATTTTTATATTTATATATATATATGTATAAACTATATATTTGTATAAATTGTTATATTATGATTTATTGAAAAGTTTCCTTTTCCTACTATCACCTACACTACTATTCATCTACATACAATATTTTCTATAATACCTTTTATGCCATATAAAAACTGTCTACATGCCATATAAATACTATCCAGAATTATACCAACTGCAAGACTATTTCTAGTTTTCCATTCTATCCCAAGATTTGTTCATCCCTATAGAAGTATGACAATCTCTCTCTCTTTTTTTAAACTAAGTTCAGAGGTACATGTGCAGGTTTCTTACATAAGTAACTTGTGTCATGGGAGTCTGTTGTATAGATTATTTTATCAGCCAGGTTTTAAGTCTAGTCCCATTAGTTATTCTTCCTGATCCTCTTCATCCTCCCACACTCTACTTTCTGGTAGGCCACAGTGTCTGCTGTTCCCTTCTATGTGTTCATGTGTTTTCATATCTGGCTCCCACTTATAAGTAAGAACATGTGGTATTTGTTTTTCTGTTCTTGAATTAGTTTGCTAAGGACAGTGGCCTTCAGCTCCATCCATTTTCCTGCAAAGAACATAATCTTGTTCTTTTCTATGGCTGCTTAGCATTCCATGGTGTATATGTACCACATTTTCTTTATCCACTCTACCATTGATGGGTATTTAGGTTGATTCCATGTCTTTGCCATTGTGAATACAGTACTATAATCTCTTAATTAATACAGATTTATAAGTCTTGATATCTGGTGGGGCTACATTTATCAACTTACTTTTTATCTGTAGAACTGTCTTGGCTATTCTTGGTCTTTTAGCAATCTATATAAATTTTATAAATATCTTGTCAGATTTTACATGAAAAAATATTTTGGCTCTTTCATTGAAATTATATTTTAATTGTTTTAATATAAACAGTTGACATTTTTATAATACCAAGTCTTCTTATTCATGAACATTTAAATTCTTTAAATGTTCATAAACATTTAAAGTCTTTAGTGAATTCAAATAAAGATTTTAAATTTTTAAATATGGGGCTTATAAATCTTTTCTCATGTCTATTTCTGGGTAGTTTTTAATTGCTATTGTAAATAATGTTTTTTTAAAATATATGTTTTCTACTTGGGTGTTGTGGGTGTGCAGGAATGAAATATATTAATAAATCCTAATATTATTTGTAATCATTTTTGTCTAACTTCACTTGGGTTTTCTATTCGGACAATCACATAACGGTTAATAATCACAGATTTCTCTTTTATTTCCAATTGTTTTGCCTTTCTCATTTTATTCTACTAAGATCTCCAGTAACCTTGAATATGGTCATGCAGTTTCTTATTTTGTTCTTGATTCTAAAGTCAATGCTTCTGACTTTTCCCAATCAAGAATGATGTTTGCAGCCTGGTGCATTTCCTCACGCCTGTAATACCAGCACTTTGGGAGGCTGAGGAGGGAGGATTGCTTCAGCCCAGGAGTTCAAGACCAGCCTGGGCAACAAAACAAGATCTCATTTCCATAGAATATAATTTAAAAATTAATCAGGCATGGAGGCACATGCCTGTAGTCCCAGCTACTTGAGAGGTAGAGGCAAGAGAATCACTTGAGCCCAGGAGGTCGAGGCTGCAGTGAGCTGCGATGGCACCACCACACTCCAGCGTGAGTCACAGAGTAACACCCTGTCTCAAAAAAGAAAAAAAAAGAGAAAGGAAAAGAGAAGAAAATAAAGGAAAGGAGAATGAAAGAAAAGGAAGGATATTTGCCCTAGGATTTTAGTAGATATTTTTTATTAGATTTAAGTAATATTTTTTCTGTTTCTACTTTTCTTTCCTAAGTAGGTTTTAATACATGCTTAATATAGCAAATGCATTTTTCTACATCAATTGAGATGATTTTGTATTTATCACCTTAAACCATTATATGTGATATATATATATATATATATATATGTTATTTTTTTAAAAAAACACAGCCTCTTTTTTAAAAAAAATGTAATACATTATTATGATATATTATCTTTTCATATAGCATGGAATTCAGTTGGTTAAAATTTTGTTTAATGTTATTGCATTTATTTTCACATTATATGTAATTTCCTATTATAATCAATTTCATATTTGTTTGAATTTTCTTCTGAGTTTCATGACAGCATCAGGATTGTAAGTGGTCTTAGTGATGTGTCCCCTTCACTTATGATTTAGCCAAACTGTCTGTGAGTAAATATATTTCTCTGAACAGAGTCAGGATTGTCTTATTTTCTCAGTTACACTAATAAAGAACTTTGCACATGTCATGAAAATAATACCAGATTTTGATTTGCCCTTTGGCTGGAGCCATTTCTCTTTGCTCTATGATCTTATTTAACCTCTCATTTCTGCCAGTTTCCAGATCTAACACTCTGATTCTCTGATCTTTTTCTTTTTAGTTCTATTTCACATATTTACTTTTATCACTTCCAACAGCTTGGCTTTGAATTGGTGGAGACGCCGAAAAGCTCGGACAAACTCTGAGAAGCTGTATAGTCGATGGGAGCAGGATCATGACCTTGAAAGTTTTGGACCCCTTGGGCTTTTTTATGAGTACTTAGAAACAGGTAATTTTAAATCACTGTTCTGAAACATAGAGTCATCATGAATGCATGATTTTTCAACTCTTGATATTTATTTCTGCCTTGCACCTGGTAGGTGTTCAATAAATCATTGGTTGCTTGGCAAAAAAGAGGGATGGAGTGATATAAGGAAGATTTGTTCCATGTTTCCCTTTCCCACCAAACAGACTGCAGAGTCAAGTTTACTTTCAAAACACCAGTCTCGGAGACATAATTCCTATCAGTTGAATGTTAATGTTATTGAACCAAATTAAGTAAGAGTCTTTTTTTTAACACCCACCTCAAATTAGCTTTGATGGCTATTTCTCCATTTGTTTGCCTCAGTGACAGCTCAAAGAGAGAATAAGTTGCTTGGAAAACATTTCCAGGATTTGACTTGCCATTAGTGTATGTCCTTTCTGTGAGACTGAAAAGAAGGATAAAGCAGTTATGTAAGGGAAATACAGCTGAACACAAGAAACATCCAAAGCATTGCAAGGATTGAACTGAGAAGAAACCCTTGAGGTGCAACTTTCAGAGCGATTTTTCTGGGCACTGCTTATATAGTCTGCTCAGAGTGTTTTATCTCAAGCAGTTTTCTTTGTTTCTGTCATAGAATTAAGGAAAATGATTTTCTTAACGCACTCTCAAGGCCCATAAAACCATGGTAGAATACATGAGATGAGCCAAAGCTCTTCATGCTTCTCCAGTGTAATACATAGGTGTGATACATGGATTGAAATTCAAATTTAGAACAAATAGAAGATGTTTTATACAACTCTTTGTAAAATCAATAGTCTTTGCTTTATAAAGTGATAAGGCTATAATTTTTAATTAATTGTGTAAGTTTCATATGAGTTTGCACATATATGCATCAGAGATTATTACCATAATTAAAAAGTTGAAATAAAGGTTTCATAAGATTGTATACTGCTTATTGAGACATAATTAGTTTATTCTGAAAACTTTATATATTAACTGTAATTTTGAAAGAATTCTCCAGAGTATTCATTATTCTACACATTTTGCTGTTGAGGATTCTGAAACTTGGATAGGTTAATACATTTTTTATGGGTCAAGAAGATTCAAGTAAAGATATGAGATGTGAACCTAGAACATTAATACTGCTTCTACATAATACTTCCTCTTCACTTTCTACCTTGTAAGTTAGGTAGAGGAAGCAGGAAAGAAAAGAAGTCAGTATGTATTTTTTTACTTGATAACAAGACTGATTCAGTCAGATGAGATAAGGTAAAATCCAGAAACATTTGAGATTTATTTAAAAATATAGGAATAGCAGAAATGTTTTCTTTTCTCCTTTAATGGAAAGCCGTTTCCTTTAAATTTTTTTTTTAATTTAATCATGTGGGAAGCATGGGCTGTCAGATGCATAAGTTCTTTTACCCCAAACATTGTTGGAAACAAAAGAATAAAAGTGTGGAGATAAGCCAGCTTACAGAGTTGTAGTCCTCTGTTGAGTCTTAATGAGGAGAGAGAATAAAATTTATTTAGAAAGATGTCATGATAGTAAGGAGAATCAAGACCTTAACAAAGTCCTTATTCTAGAAAATGTGTATTTCCTTTGCTGACGCACACAGAGCTGGCTGCTGGAAATATACAAATGAATCAGTCATCATGCCTGATCTCAAAAAGTAGATGGGCTAGCAAGAAAGAAAAACTTGGTTACCTCACTAAATTGCTAATACAAATGTAAAGACTAGACCAGCATAAACCTATACTTAGCCCATACTAAAAGGCAAAGAGGAATAGATTCTTCTAACAAGCATATCTCTAACAGAAGAACAAAGAAGGAACTCAGCCATGCATGCCCAGTTTCTCCTTCCAGTTCTAGCAAGCGGATAAGTCACTGTGTCTCCTGTGGAGAGGAGGAAGTGGACAGACTCACAGAAGCCTGGATTGTTGTATTGGTGTGGATCACTCCAAAATGAAGGAAGTAGCAGGATTTGGGGAGGGTGTTCCCATCTTTCTCCTTCACAATAATGAGTTCATGCCTTTTTCTTTTCTCTACAGTTATTCAATTTGGATTTGTTACACTATTTGTGGCCTCTTTTCCTTTGGCTCCTCTTCTTGCTCTCATAAATAATATTGTAGAGATTCGAGTGGATGCCTGGAAACTTACCACTCAGTACAGGAGAACTGTAGCTTCTAAAGCTCATAGCATAGGTGTTTGGCAAGACATTCTTTATGGAATGGCTGTCCTTTCTGTTGCAACTAATGTAAGTGGATCTATTTCGGTGGGGTGACTTTGTATTTCATTTTATTTGGGGGACCATGGAGAGATGTGAATGATGCTTAATCTTTACATTGATTTCATCATGGTAATACTTTATAAAGCTAAAACATTCCAAAATTGGTATGCACTAACCAATATGGAAAAACCTATGACATGTAAACTCTTATGAGGAAAATTATAAAATTACTCTCATTAAAGTATCATGACACAGTTTCACAGCATGTGACAAAGTAAACAAAATAAGTAACAGTATAATGTATTTGAATGAAACAATTAAAAATTGATTATATACTACAGAGAATATACAACACTTACTTGTTAGGTTTATAAAACAATTATTAAAATGTAAGAAAAATAAATTTCCAAAAGTGTAACTTTTACAATGTATTTTCACCTACAATAATACTTTACAAATTGATATTGATGATAAGATAATCAAAGAAGAAAATCTAACACTTTTAAGTAGGCTTCACACAAGAGAAAACAGAATTAAGATCACAGAGAGAGCCTAATTTAATGAAAGCCTGTAGGAATGAGCCAAAACCACTATTACAGAAAACTTGCTTGCCATGCATTTTTTTTTATTAATAAAAGAAGACTGGAAAATGAGCTGAGTATATAACTTAAGACGCTAACAAAAAAAAAAGGTAAATCAACTTAGTAGTAAAAAAAAAATAAAGGTATAATCAGAAATAATCAAATTAGAAAACAAACAAAAAGCAATATAATTGCTAAGTAAATCAAGAGCTGGTTTATTCGAAAGACAAAGTAAGTAAAACTGAGGAAAGTATGAAAGACTGCTGTGTACCCATTTACGCCAATGAATTTTGAAGTATATTTGAAATGACCACTTTTTTAGAAAGCAAAATTTACCAGATTTATTCAGTAAGTAAAGAAAACCTGAATGAACCATTAGCCATATAAGTTATATTAGATTTTTTAAAAGTGTAGCACTAAAAATATAAGTGCCAGAGCCAGATGGTTTTTGATTGACTTATCTAACCTAAAAGAACTATGCTATTTATACTATCCCAGAACTTAGGAAAGGATGGGAAAATATCATTCCCATGAAATCAAATACTGAAATTAATTGCACTGAACTGTGAGGAATTTACAAACACATGATATTCTGATCTTCATTCCTTTCCTCTCACACACTCACAGTCCAACCTCATGAAGTTGTTCTAAGAAAGTGAATTTGGTAAGGATAGTAGAACTGTGCTGGGAAACAATAAGATATATCAGAAATAGCAAGGCTTGATGGAAAGAACATGGTTCTTGGAGACAGATACATTTAGGTCTGACTCCACTTAGACACTTTGTAGCTATGACATCCTGGAATACTAAGCAGGTACTGTAAATGAGCTGTTTCATGCTTCAGGACAAAGATTTGCGTATTACTCTGACTTATAATAGTATTTAATCACATACAGCTTATGGTACTGAGAGATTTACAAATCAGACATTATTAAAACTAAATTGGCAGCTCATGAACTTCCTCTTTTTTTGTTGTTCTTCAGGCTTTTATTGTTGCATTTACGTCGGACATCATTCCTCGTTTAGTTTACTATTATGCTTACTCAACAAATGCCACGCAGCCTATGAGAGGATATGTCAATAACAGCCTGTCAGTATTCCTGATAGCTGATTTTCCAAACCACACTGCACCCTCGGAAACACGAGACTTCATCACTTGCAGGTTTCCTTTTGTTTAGGTTTTAATTTTGCCCTTTAAATGTATTTCTTAAGTTATCTATTCCCTTCATGTTTTTCTTACAATGCAAAAGAGTTTCTTAGGACAACAAAAATCCTGTATAAATAAAGTGTATCTATTCTAGAATTCACACATTGCCTGACTGAGATTTGAAAAGGTAGACTGTCAAAAACTAAGAGAATATTATGGGTAAAAATAACAATAATTTAAAATTTTTTCAAAAGGATTTGTCACCAACAAGTGCCCCTTAGCCTAAAGTTGCAGTAATCTGTAGATCATACAACAGCGTCATGTTGTATGTGCATTTAACTTACTTGAATTATCTATGTCCTCAGGAAAGAGACAGAGTGAGAAAGACAGAAATAGCAATATAATAATATGATCAGCTCACCACCTATCCCACTAAAAGGGTTTATTCTGTGTAGGAAATATGAAATTTTAAATGTGAATCTACTGTTTCCACACTCCGTCTATCATGTACTACGAGATCTTTTCACCGTACAATTTAAAGATACACACACACACACATGCCTATCAAGGCCCCTTAACTTAAACCATTGTTTCATTTGAGACTCCAAAAAAAAGGAGCAAAATATTGCAAGATAGGCAGACATTGTTATATTGTTATATTACATATTTGAGTGAAATCATAGCCTACTCTGTTTAAGAGCATAGCCACTGGTGTCAGATTTCTGGATGTGATTACCCCCCAGCTGGACTAAATCTTTGAGGAGGACCAGTATCCAGTGACTTTATAAAGGAGAATGAACTCACAAAGTTGAGCATTAAGAAAATTTCAGAATTATATTTTTTTAAGAAAGCAATACTGCATCAGAACAGCCAAAAGAAAACAGTGTTTCACGAACATAGAAGTTACCGATAATATTCCTGTTTTTGAAAAGTCAAAGGATTAAAATATGCCTGCAATTTAAGGATAGGATAGAAGGATAAGACTGGGTGTGTCAAGGAGCAGGAAAAGAGGAAGTAGAAGCAGCAGATTTTGAGTAACTCACTTAAAAAGCTGTCTTTGAAGGCAGGAGAGAAATTTTACTTCTGTGTTTATTCTTAGATCTATATCACACATAAGTAGCATATATCCTGACTTTATGTGAACAAGAAAGATAAGTATTTCATAATATCAATTAACTTTGACCTGATTTTTCTGATCAGCTAGAAGAATTTCTTAAGAGAAATAAGAAATTATATTAGGTCTCTCTTGTTGAAACTATAACTATTTTTTTTTTCATTTACTTCCACTTTTCAGGTACAGAGATTACAGACATCCTCCTGATGATGAGAATAAATATTTTCACAATATGCAATTCTGGCATGTCCTTGCTGCCAAGATGACCTTCATCATTGTTATGGAAGTAAGCTGTTCTTAACTTTTATTCCACTCTCTTCTTTCTTTAGGCAGATATTTCTAAAGGTAATCTCTCATCAGCAAGTTAGCAATATCTCAATAAATTGTCTTGAAGAAAGTGTTGTACTTGTTGTCATGAAAAGCACCTTAGGGTTATTCTCAGTACAAAGGATTGCCTATTATTCACTTACTGTTGAAGATTCCTTGGTGACAGAAAAGGAAAGAAAAACAAATATGTTTTTTCCCCTGAAGTCAGGAAAAGGGGAAAGAACCCACAGATTTTACTGAATACCTATTATTTACTAGTTCTGGAAGCTGCTTTAAGTCATAACAACATTTTAAGTTAGACCTTATCACTCACCTTTGAAAAAGGAATCTGAGACTCAGCAAAAATAAGTAGCTGGCCTAAGGTTAACCAACTAACATTAGTGCTGGGTTTCAATGCCAAATGTGCCTCACTCCCAAGCTTATGCTCTGTCTACTATATTACGCTACCTCTGTTGTGGAATATCCAGTGTAATTATAGAGATAAAGCATGCCAGGAAAGGTAACCAATACAAAGGTGGTATTGGACTAAGTTTCAAACTGAATGATACAAATCATAAGGCAGGAAGGCCTAACGGGAGAGAAAAATAAAAGAAAGGCACTTTTTCACCCTGGAGTAAAGTCCAATAAAAGACAATCTTAACCCAAGAACATGCCATTCCAGTCAATTCTGTTTAATTTATTTTTATTGTTATCAAGGTTATTCATGTAATTTTGAAAATCAAGTAGTTCTGCATGGCAAAAAAAAAAAAAAAGAGCAACCATACATAATATTCCTCCCTACCCTAAAATCCTAATCTCCAAAGGTAAACATTTCAATTTTATAAACTCACTCTTCCAGTAGTTACCCTTGTATGGAAAAGAACATCATTTTGCAGTTTTTTTATTTTTATTTTTATTTGTTAGCTGTTAATTACTGACATTCTACTTTGGCAGGTCTCACACACACACACCCCCACACAGAAAGAGAGAGAGAGAAAAAACTTTCTCCTACTGCTCAAAAATTAAACATATTTTTGTCTTATTCTGAAATTTGAAATGTCAGAAAACAAAGTATTTTGATAACTTATTTAGCAGCAATATATTATCTAATTTAAGGCAATTTATAGCCTTTATTCTTTTAAAGTGACCATTTACTTTGCTGCAGAAATATTTAAGTGTTTGATACAGAGTGCCACCTCAGACCCTGCTGGTTTATACACTAAATTATATGTTTTCAATATTTCATACTCTCAACTCTAAAATATGTCTGCTATCAGAGTTTTGAATAAAAGATTTTATATAAATGCAATAGTCAGGTTTTATAAATTATGACTTTACAAATATTAGTCACATCTGTTTCTTATACTCTGAACATATTTCTCTTATTATAGTTTTGCTTTTATTCTCACTCTCTGTCTCTTAGTTCATTATAAATTTATCAGTCTTGCCGGGCGCGGTGGCTCAAGCCTGTAATCCCAGCACTTTGGGAGGCCTAGGCGGGTGGATCACGAGGTCAAGAGATCGAGACCATCCTGGTCAACATGGTGAAACCCCATCTCTACTAAAACTACAAAAAAATTAGCTGGGCATGGTGGCGTGTGCCTGTAATCCCAGCGACTCAGGAGGCTGGGGCGGGAGAATTGCCTGAACCGGGAGGCGGAGGTTGCGGTGAGCCGAGATCGCGCCATTGCACTCCAGCCTGGGTAACAAGAGCGAAACTCTGTCTCAAAAAAAAAAAATAATAAATAAAATAAAATAAAATAAAATAAATTTATCAGTCTTTCGTTTTAACATTTTCATCAGAAGTGTAGATGACCTTTCAGCCAGTAAATTATATCAGGAATTCTTTTTAATTTATTTATAATTTGCATTAATTTTTTTGTAATCACTCCAGGCTATAACTAAGCATCATCCTTCTCTTCACCTTGTCTTCTGTTGAAGATTACATTTGTGTCTCCTATTTTTGGTTTAACAGCTTATTTTGGTGAAGCACATCTTCCAATAATTTTCTGGGGAAAAATTTGTGGCAATTTCTGAGAAACTGAATATTGAAATTTTTTTTCTTTTCTTACATGTGATTATTTGGAATGGAATTTATAATTGAAAGTTGTTTTTCTTGAAAAGTTTTTAATCAACTTTATTTTGGTTTTCCTGAAATTTTGAAGACATTGCTTCATTTTCATTCAGCTACCAGTGTTGCTATAAAATGCAATACTTTTCTGACTCCCCAGTCTTCATTTATTATCTGTTTTCAAAATCAATACGGTTTTGGGATTCTCTCATTAGCCTCACTTTTATGAAGCTTCACAAGAGGCTTCTTTGCTGTTGGTCAATATTCATTGTTTTAGATACTCATTGGGCCCCTTAGATCTAAAAACGTACTTACCCTTCAAGTTGAGAAAATTTACTGGTACAATTTCTTTGATACATTTTTCTTTCTTTGTGCCATCTCTCTGGAATTGCTGTTATTCAGATATTACACTTCCTGGTTTGAAATTGTTATTATCATTTATATTCTCTTCTATGAAAAGCTAGATTAATACTTTTTAAAAATTCTGCTTTTTTCTTTTGCTCTCTTCCTTATACCTGGTTCTTTTTTTTTTTTTTTTTTTCCATGTCAGAGACTTTCCTACATGTTTCATGGTTCTGCTCATGCTTAAAGGTGTGGCAGTGAAAAGCTGATTTTAAGCTTTTTGGGCATACAGAAGTTATGCCACTTGGTGGGTTTCACTGTAGGTTGATAAGGTAGTGAGCTGACATTTTTATTGGCGCCTTATAAAATTTTGACATTCACAGTTCTGCTTTTATAGAATAGTTATTTTTCCTGGAGAAAACTCCTCAAATCTATCTGTTGAGCTATTTCATGGCTGCCTGTTTTCTAAAGCCTGAGCAAAGCGAAGAGGACTAAGAAGCTCACAGTTCATCATGCTGAATTTCACCATTTTTACATTTTTTTCAGTATGTTTTCATATCTCATCTGTATCTAGTGCCCCTGAATTCACAGATTTCAGGTATAATTTCTTTAGAAAATAAACTCTTCTGCTGCTTCCAGGGCCTAGTAAAAAGCGAAAGAATGCCTGGATACAAATGAGAGAAAGGCTCCGAAAATTCAAGTGCTCCTTATTCAAATTTTTATCTAATCCTCTTGTTTTTAACTCCAACCCACACTAATACCTTCAAACGTCCTTAGTGCCTTCTTTCCTGAACATTTCTGACAGTCTGAAACAAAATTGGATTTTGTCATTTTGGTTTCCACTATCAGTCACCACGTTACCATTTGCAAGTTTCACTGTTAGCTTTTTTCACTCTTTTGAGTCTAATTCCTTTATAAATATTTTATCAGGTTTTTACAAGGGAGCAGTGAAAAATAGTGTATTCAATACTCCTGTTCAACTAGAATATTGCTAGTTACATACTTAAGTATATATTTATTTGTTTAATGGTGATCTTTGTATGAAAGTTCTAGGACAGGGACCATATCTTCTTGCTTGCCTTTCTTCATATGTTTTGAAAGTTTTTTATGCTCACGTGTTCAGCAGTTTTTTAAATAAGCGAAATGACTTGTAAAGACTTTCTGCTGAACAGGTGACAGCTCTAACAGTGTCTAATCTTTCCTTTATATTTTCTCTAGCATGTTGTGTTTTTAGTTAAATTTTTGCTGGCCTGGATGATACCTGATGTTCCAAAAGATGTTGTGGAGAGAATCAAGCGAGAAAAGTTAATGACTATCAAGATTCTCCATGACTTTGAGCTCAACAAATTAAAAGAGAACTTGGGAATTAATTCTGATGAACTTGCCAAGCATGTCATGATTGAGGAAAACAAAGCACAGCTGGCTAAATCAACAATCTAGTCAGCATAATGAGGAAGCAGCAGGTGGCTTGCCTTACTTCTTTTTCCTCTGGGTTTAGGGCCAGAGGCTAGAAGCCATGTGTCAATTTTCTCCTTTCTTTCTTTTTTTTTTTTTAACTCAAAGTTTTTATACACTTTTGTAGAGGCCAACTTTGTGATGTTGGGAGTGTGCTACTTCTCTGCTTCATTGATTGGGCCCTCTCCAGAATATATTGTCTGAGGTGCTGTAAATGACTGTTGAAAGTGCGGGTAAAATCAAAATACTGGGAAATCATGGAGTCTTGCAGTTTAGAAAACACGGGCCTTGGGCTGTCCCATCACTTTCCAGTGCATCTATGTATTTTTATGGTCTTCTCTTGGGTTGATACCTCTTTCCCCATTAAGGAAAACGTTGGGGCAAAACAAAAGGAATCAAAGAGGCTGACTGAGCCTTATATATTCTATCATTCTAAAATATGAAAAGGAATTGCCAAAATCAGATCACATAAGAAAATTCACAAATTAAAGCATTAACATATCATAGCAGAGGTTTATTCCTGAAATTGTCCTGAACACATTCAACTACCGTCAGAATCCCAGATAGTTCTTCCTGGTAAATACAGAATTCATTTTCTGGAGACTGAAATTTTGGATTTCAACAGAAAACTAACAATTCAATTCTTAGAGATAAGTATTTGGTAATAATAGTTTCAAGACTGATCTTATCTGGAAAACAACATTATGCAGCGGTTAGATTGCTTCAGGCTCTCAAGTAAAGATATAATAGTAAAGTAAGGGTGTTTCCTTAGTAGTTAATGGATGCAAGACAGTGTATATTGATTAATTTGTTAATTTTAATCTAGAAAATTGTTAAATTATTCCTCAAAAATTACTTTTCTTTTTGAATGCCAATTTTGCATCATGAAGCTTTTTTGTATAAGTTAGGTACAAGTTGTTTATGATAAACATTTTTTTGCTTTAAAATAATTGCGAATCTTTAATAAGTTTTCAGGCTTTTGTGTTCATGTGCCACCTTATATGATGCTCAGTGCCTTGTTCCAATACCTCTGATACACAAGAAGTCATGTTGTTAGCTAGCGACTTGATGTGATGTAACATCTTAAATGTAAGCTTGTCTTAAATAAATTCTCAGTGTAACAACCACCACAGACTTGAATGCCAAAAGAGAATCAACCAACTAAGAATGACTTCATGAACTTAATAATCTAAGGGGGAAAGAAATGTTTGCTGAATTATTTCTCTCAAATTTAGGCCTGTGTTATATGCATAAAAATCCTTGTTCTTTTTTCACTTAAAAATATTAAATATGTATAAATCGGTGTATCTGCACACACACATTATCTATATATAAAATTATTAGCACCAGAGCAATACAGTCCAGTTATGTAGTATTTGAAAATCTAGTTTCAAATTATAATTCGCCTCCAAAAGAATATTGTTTTTTAATCACACGCATAAGAGATTTTATCACAAGATTTAAAAGTAATATTTTGTTATCTAATACTAATAAATTGTTGTGGTACTGCCAGTATTAAACATATGGCAGATGGTATTAACCACTGATCGGTAGTAAGCATTTAGAACTGAAGATTATGGATTTTCTAAACTATGAGACAGTCACCCCAGTTTGGGCGGGGACCAATCCCCAGTACTGATTTGTTATCCACTGGGTAGACTTTATAAACATTCTTGGGTAATTTGAAATGATCTCATTATTGAAAGATGATTTCATATGTAGAGGAGATAATATTTCTTTCTTGAAAAAGCCAGTCAGGGTTACCATGATGTGTGCCACAGGTGCAGGATCTTCGGCTTGCCAACTCAGATTCTGCATCGCTACAGCATACATGCACACAGCTTGTATTGCTTCCTTCCTGGGTGCTGATAATAAGAAAGTGCATGGAAATTGGTTTCTTGAATATAAGCTTTAATTTTTTAAGGCTTAAAAGTATTCATAGAGCTAGACTGCATGATAAATAAGGACAAATTTAATTCACAAAGTTATCTGTACACTGCAATTTTAAAATATATCAACTAAAGTACTGGATTTCTGGAAGTGTATGGAGAAAACAGCAAGGGAAGAAATTGCTTTTAAGATTCCCATGATTGATGGATATTTTCCTTTTAAAATGTTATTGACTGATATTTTGTATTCACATTTAAATTTCTTACCAAGACATTTATCTTTGTTTTGCAGATTTAAAAATAAAATACAGGTATTCCTCACTTTTATGAAAGCGTGCTAACCAAAATCAGGAGCCAAACCAATTCAGATAGATTTGTCTCGTCTAATTAAACCTATTGGTTTTGGTGGGAGGGCTGCATTAAAAGCACCCTACCGCCATATATGAGTTGATAATTGCCAGCATGGCAGATGATTTTATCTGCTGACCAAACCCATAGTTCTGTTTTGTTTTCAGAATGTTCTCAGGAACATTTGAGATTTTATGTGAAATAAAATTTTAAGTGCCGGAGCCAAAAAAAAAAAAAAAATGCTTAGCTCTTTTCAAATTCTCGCTTTCATCCTTACCTTCATCAATTTTTCTTTGCACGCAGGAAGCAAAATCTACTTCAAAACATTTACTTTAGAGGAATCCATTAAGAGGGGAGTGTTTTACTTAAATGAAATGCTGTCTTATTTTTGCTGTGTCTTTTGACACCTTCTTGGCTTTAATGTTCTTCTTTTAACCAAGTCATCATGCAGGTTATCAAAGAGGAGAAAGATGAGGACAGAGGAAGGTGATGGGAGATGAGAAAGAGGAGGAGGGAGGAGAGAGTTATTTCCTTATGAATCCTGTGTGTGTTTCTTTGGAAGAAAGATCTGTTCCGAGGGAACTTGGTCCAACTGTGGTTGCTAAGAGTTCTATCTCTTAACAAAGGCATCTAATGAAAGGGAGAGAAAAACTAAAGAAATTTCAATGTGACAACTATTATGTGTGACAACTATTATGTGTCAAAATAAAACTTAGATTCCAAAGTGATTTTGTAGTGTTGGGCGCTGTGAATAGCTATGGATCTCTGTTGATTGACTCCAGTTGAAGGTGAGAAACCTGCATCATTCATTCATAAAGGGGCTCTCTCATATTTCTTTTAAATTGTTAATAGTTGTTATGTAACCAAATAATTTTATGAAGAAAAATAATATTGCAAAAGGTACAATTATCCAGGCTTACAAGTCAGCTACAATGAGCCGATATTCTTTTTCTAGACAAATTTTGACTCTTCTACTTTTATGTGTAATAATTCCAGTATTCTATTTATTTCAGCATTATGTGAAAAATGATGAGAATGTTAAAAAACAAAAAGAGTGTGGTTTAAGTGGCGTGAGATACCTGCTTCCATCCCCCTCAAAGGTTTGTCTACGTATATCTCTCCTATGTGTGACATTATGTGCCCTGGTGTTAACCCAGAAAATAAGTGCTCCTTTTTTACATTTTTTTCTTCCAAGATTTTTTTACCAGGAAGAAAGGATATGCAGGTATGCGGGAAAAGCTGTCTTAAGTAATGTGTACATAAATCTCAAGAGAATCAAATTCACACAGTGAACAAAGTAATACTTAAACTACATTTTGACATAAACTCAATTTATTCTTCCAGTAAAATGTTGATTTTTTTTTTAGTTTGAGTACTTGTTTTTAAGTCATATTTGTTGTGTAGAAACATTAAAATGTATATATATATAACATGTTTAGCTCATGAAATTACATATTTTTGCACATTCAGATGTTTACATATTAAAGATGCAAATTCCTTTAACTAAGAAGCTGGATAATCCAGAAAAATTTGAGAATGTGGTAGTTTTTGTTGTTTTGTCTCTTTATTTTTTTCTACTTTGGAAAATAAGGGTGAACGGAAAGGTCCCCAGAAAGAAAAATTGCATGTTGAAATGTTAATGTTACAGGTAGTTAGATGGGCAATAAGAGGGGCAGGAGAGGGCTCCCCACACACTCACTAGGAATGTCAAGTGACAGTTCCACGATTATCACACTGCCTCTCTAAAAATGATAATTCTGCAGCCAGGGAGAGGCAATCTCCTGATGGTCCACACCTGTTAATATTAAAAGTGTTACCTGAATGCAGGCCCCAAGGAGAAGCAACCTCCTGGACATGCATGTTAAGAGACAAAAAAAAATGGTGAAGTATAATCTTCGAGCACACTCCACCTGAAAAGAAAGAAAGCCTCAGATGGGCATGTGTATAACTCCCTAAACACGCTGCACATGCTTAATTCCAAAGGGTAAGGAGAGCACTGCGGATGCAGAAAACCCACTCTAAGGGATGAGTTATGGGAAAGAGGCAAACCTATACAGTCCCAGCATCATGGTTAAATTCCTCTTTTTCCTCTTTTGGACTTTAAGGTGCCCACTTAGGTCTCCTCCCAGCGAATTTTCCTTTTTTTGTTTTTTTTTTTTTTTTGTGTTCTAAACAGAAAAATAAAAATAAAATCCCACTACTGCTCTGAAATGCCTTGTTCTCTTTTTCTGCTTTATGCCCCTCAATTGAATTATTTTTCTGAGGAGGCAAGGACTGAATTTGCTGTGGACCCGTATGGATTCACCTCTGGTAATTCAGGGTAACTTGAATGTCTGCCACCACTAACAGAGTAGCTCCCACATTTTTTTTCTAGTTCCATTATTTTCAAAAAAAGTCTACAACTCTGTTCATCAGAATTATCTGGTCTGCTTGTTAGAAATGCATATACCTAGGTCTTATCTAGATCTCTAGAAACAGAGTTTTTGGGAAAGATGCTTTTAAAAACCTCCAAGCATGCATTGGTGAATAGAGGTGGGGGAGCAATAACACTGATGAAAATTTCATAAGATGTCAAATTCCCTAGCCCAAAGTATTTCTATAATGATTTTCAAACATTAATTTATTGCTCCATCCAATTAAAGAAATATCTCAAGATATGTAGTCAGTGTCTCCAAATTTGTAGAACTGTTCCAATTCTGTTGTATGTGGAAGCAGTTGAAATCTGACAGCCTAAGGGCTCTAGCCCTTTAGTTTCTACTTGTTAAAAAAAAGGAAGTAGTAAATTAAATGTATTTGCTTCTACCAATATATTCAAGAAAAAGAAAGTGTAGACTGGTCAGAAATTATGGTGAATACATCACATTCTAAGTACTAGAACCAATAGTTTAACAGACAAGATTTAATCAAGAAAGCAAAGCTGTTAGGAATATTATGGAATAAAGGATTGTTTATAGAAAATAGACCTTTGAAAATTGTGAAAGAAACTGGAAAGAAATGGTCTGAAAGAAAGATTTGGAGAGTAATATGGTTTGGCTGTGTCCCCACCCAAATCTCATCTTGAATTGTAGCTCCCATAATCCCCATGTGTCCTGGGAGGGACCCAGTGGGAGGGAATTGAATCATAGGGCTGGGTTTTTCCCATGCTGTTCTCGTGGCAATGAACGGGTCTCACATGATCTAATGGTTTTATAAAAGGCAGTTCCCCTACACACACTCTCTTGCCTGCTGCCATATAAGACATGCCTTTGCTCCTCCTTCACCTTCCATCATGATTGTGAGGCCTCCCCAGCCATGTGGAACTGTGAGCCCATTAAACCTCTATGTTTTTTTAATAAATTACCCAGTCTTGCGTATTTCTTCATAACAGTATAAAAATGGACTAATACAGATGGTCAGAGAAGAACCATTCAGCTCTCCTGAAACACTACCATGGGTAGAGAAGTTGAGGCTTGTAGAGCTATCCATATGATGTGCTAAAGTGAAACTGGGAAGGAAAGTTAATGAAGTCTATGGGGAAATGTTACATTTGTCTAGCTACGTGTTTCCATGAATCTGCAGCCAAGAATCACATGAACTTGGAGCCCACAGCTGGTCAGGAATACTTGGAGTGAAAAACAGTGAGAACAGCATAGAGCCCACTAGACTCCAATTTGCATATCCTTTATCACATCTGTCCTCCAAGACCAGAAAGTAGACTTTCTGCTCCTTCACTTCTGTATGCCTCTTGTGCAAATATAACCTGACACCAGAGAAAGAATAGGCTTCTAAGCAGTGCAGTTCCAACTTCACTTAGTAAGGCTATTGGACATTTGAACACAATAAAGCTTTTGTGGAATATTGTGCTCAATAACTAAGGAATAGGAATTTCTTTACAAGTACATTCTAAACACTAACAAAATCTGGTCAAATGCCAAGCCTCAAAAACAAAACTAAAAAAAAACAAAACAGCAAATTTCAAATGACCAAAATAAACCAGATAATTTTCTCTGTCCACAATAAAAGGAAATTATAAAGAACAAAAAGGTGACTAGGAAAATTATGTAACAAATCTTGAAATAACAAAAAAGTAATAAAGTGAAGTTTAGAAGATAATTTTTGATTACATTGTACCAAAAATACTGCACAGCTCAAATTTTGTGGGATACACTAAATAAATCTTGTGGTGGTTTTAGAAGAAATGTATAGCATTTAAATAGGCTATTTTTACAAAAAGAAGAAAAAAACATCTAAAAAAGTTAGAGAACAGCAATATGAACAAAATAAAAGTAAAAAGAAGGAAAAAATCATTTTAAGAGGGGAAATTAATGGAAAGTATACAGAAAACAATGTTCTTAATGGAAACATATTAGAATTATTCCCTTCAAAATTAGCAATAGGAAAGCACACTTCCAGCAATAATAGCCTAGTTTTTCAGGCTATTGTAACCCTGAGAACCAGGAAAAAAACTGGGTAACATGTTTTTAAAAATGATTCAAAGCATCAGAAAATTATAAGAGAAAGAGTTCTTATAGAAAAAATAAGTAGGAGAGGAGAGAAAAGCAGAGAAGAAAGCCTGTTTATTGTGGCAATATTTTCCCTGAGGAAAGTGTAGATTAAAGAGGAAAAAAAAAAAAGCTGAAAGAAAGGTTCTACTGAGCTTTCAACAGATTTACAACTTAGGAGACATGTTTAGGGTCTAGCAAGGATAAAAAGCCCTGGTCAAATCTTAGCACTTTATTTAGAAACATTAAATATAAAGGCACAGAAGGGTTGAAATGAATATAATGGGGAAAAAGATATTCCTTGGAAACGCTAAAATAAAATTGATCTATACTAACGTCAGACAAAGTAGAATGTGAGGCAAGG